ATAAAGTATGTTTCAAACTTAAACTGAAAGAGACAAAGAAGCTCACTACATCCTTGTGAAGGGAACAATTCAAGAGGAAGAGATAACAAATAATTTATTTTTAATTTATTATGTCAGAAAGTATATATGCTTTTTCTCCTTCTTGTTTTTTTCCCTTTTCTTTTTCTTCCTCTGATGCTGGGGATTAAAACTCAGCACATTGTTCTGGCTAGGCAGGTGCAGCATATTGAGCTAAATTTCAGGCTTTACATTTCATATTTTTAAAATTTATCATTACATTAATCCTTGTCTGTATATGTTGGTCTACCAAATTGAAGTTATTTTGGTTCTCATTTTCTTTGCTTTTTGAGAATTTATGAAATCTGTATATATGAGTAGTATGAAAAGTATTAAGGCCCATCTGCCATTTTCCTCTTTTATCTCTGCTTTCTACAAATTTCCTTTTCTGTCACTACAGCTTGTTTGCTTGGAAATTTGCTAAGATAAATGTTGTTATGTTATCAATATATCTTTGTACCTATTTTCTACTGATGATGAATATTAATTTTAAGTAAATTTTATTATAACTATACTTAATCATTAATATCATTTAGTATCTGATACATGTTAAAAAATCTTGAACTCCTTCAGACGATGTTTTTTCTCAAATTATACAAATCACCAACACTCCACACATCACTGCACTATTTTATTATACCTAAGTATATATTGTATTGTAGAAAATATGTATTGTGTATATGTGTGGGGGTATGTTTTTACATATATGTGTGCACTATTAAATGAGAAACATGGGCATGAATGTGGTAGGATTGTGCACATTTGGCATATTGATAGTTTCTCTGGCAACCTTACAATTTCTTTAAATTACATGCTTGACTTCATAGTCATTCATTTGGGAAGAATATTACATATCTATTGGTGTTAAATTCTATCACTATGCTTATAAAAATATAATAAAAATAAGTATGGGATATAATAAAATAGAAACAGAAAAATCTGATCTTAAAAATGTGAATTCTTTTAGTTGCTTTTGTATTTCAAATATAAGTATATTTTTTTCTGTGGGAAGTTTTGTTAGAAAATGTAAGTGGTACAATCAACAAGTATATGATATTTATCAATTAATAAAACCAAGGAGTTTATAAATCATAAAATTTTGAGGACAGTTTCTCAACTATAATATGTAACTTTGTTTTATTTATAATTACATTATTTCAAAAATATAAGAAAATGAGAAAGAACATAATGTTTGAAGATCATATCAGACTAATGTATTTCGATTAGTCTGTTACATAAATTCTTGTTTATTTCATATCCTTTTTTTGCTGTCATACGTATGTATATTTGGAATTTTTATTTAGTATCTTCATTTCTTGTTATCATGTATCTTTGCAATCTTTAATAAAAAAACAAAACAAAAAAAACAATGAAAAAAATTGTACACAAATTAGATTATATTATCCACAATATCTTATCATCTTTATTTTTTAAAAAACTGTAGCCATCTATTTGGAAAAATTTTCTTTCTTTTTTATTTTTATTTTTTTGAGACAGGGTCTCACTATGTAGTTGAGATTGACCTGGAACTCACTATGTAGCCCAGGCTGGTCTCAAACTCATGGCAATCCTACTGCCTCAGACTCCCAAGTGCTAGGATTACAGGTGTGCGCCACCATGCCGAGCTATGAACAATTTTCTATCAGTGGTTCTTTTTTTTTTTTTTTGTACAGGGGATTGAACTCAGGTCCTTGCGCTTGCAAGGCAGGCCACCAAACCCCTGAGCTGAATCCCCAGCCCTTACCAGTAGTTTTTAATCCTGCCGGAAAATTAGATTTACTGGGGAGTCTTTTAAAAAAACAAACAAACAAACAAACAAAACCCCACACAACAAATAAAAATAAAAGCCAGTGTTTCAAACCTTCCTAGACTAATTGATCAGCACCTCAGAAGGGGGAGGCGTAGGGAAAAAATTTTTTAATCACCTAAAATGATTCTAATGTTCATCCAGGATTGAGGCCCATGAGTCTTACTTAAGTAGTAACCCACTGTTATATGATATAATCAATGTTGTTCCGATGGACTAGGTTGAAAGGTTAATCCTTATATGTGGATATTTATGTATGTATGGTCTTCTATACTTGTAACTATATATACTTTGTTCATACACTTTTTATATAAAGTAGTTAGTTTTGATTAAAAGTAACCTTCATTGGGCCAGGGATTTCACTCAGTGGCACTGCACCTGCCTCACAAGCATAAGGTCCTCAGTTCGATTCCCAGTACACACACAAAAAAGTATCCTTCATTGCCTTCATCTAGATTTTAAAAATATGGTAAAAAACCCATTGTAATATAAAGATCATTATTTCAAATTATTTCACACAGGACTGGCCACATGATTTTGTAGGACTCAATGTAAACTGAAAATGTGGAGCCTCTTGTTCAAAGGTTAAGAATTTTAAGTCAGGAATATTAGAGCACTAGGCCAAGCAGAAAGGCCTTCTAAGGGCAGGTCATGTGCCCAAAACATCAGTCTACCTTCTATGAATTGTCACATTATTTGGTCAAAAAGTTTGAAGAAAATATTTTTCTCATGAGTGAGTGGCTGCACCTTCAAAACCCTTTCCAATCTAAAAATGACATAATTAGTAGTAACTCCTATGTGCAAAATAGTACATTTTCCTCTTGACACTGCATAAAACAGAAACTATTGCCCATTCATAGCATTCCAAATGAGATTTTAATTTTTAATAAGGAATGACATTTACTGTAGGTGATTTCAGGAGAAATAATAAGACGTTATTTCTTCAACTCTTCTAACTGCTCATATCTGTCCACTTTAGTCTTAGGGAGAGAGTAAAGCAAAAGATAAGGCATAGCAAGGTAGGATGGAGAACTTATTCTCTTAATGTCTTACTCATAAACTGAGAATCCTCTAAATACCATCATACTCTTTTTTTCAGTAAACTTCTATGGAATAGATCTTGCACTTTAAGCACTGTAACATACAACTTCAGAGACAAAAACAGGCTACTAACTCTTTTAATCCCAGTGGATTGAAGTACATATTTATCCTATACATTCTGCAGTGCATCTCACTTACATCACAACCATCTGAGGAAGGTATTATTCACATTTTCTGAAAATGAGCTCACAAGAATTTAGAACAATTTGCCTAAGATCACAAATAAGCAGAATGTGCATTCAAATTCCACATTCACCTGACTAAAAGTGCTTTAAATCTTAAAAGTAAAAAAGAAACACTGTGTGAAGACAAGCAAATTGGTAAGATGCTTCTACAAACCAAGCAATGCTGAGGATTGTTGGTATTAGAAGCTGGAAGAGAGGCGTGTAAGTTTGTTCAGAACCTTCAGAAGGAACCATTCTGAGAAACTGAGCTTAAGATTTCTGGACTCCAGAACTGAGTGAATTTGTTGTTTCAGGTCACCTTGTGGTACTTCGTTAGGACTCCTAGGAAACTAAGATGCCATGTCTCTGGTTTCAAGTAAAAATGGAATGGTAAGGTTCCAGAAAAGGTGAGGACAGTGATGAATGTAAATAATTATCCAGCTCATATCACTCCCCTTTCCATACTTTGTGTCTTATGCTCACATACTTATTGATTTCCAAGGAACCCTGAATGTTCACAGGTAGGATAAATGTTCTAGGATACCTGTATTGACCCTGAATTGGTTGTATACACTCTGAGTCATTTGTGTTTATTCCCAGTTGTTCCTGCTATTATAATTTTGTTTTAAAAATAGAGGATAATCTTATCAAGGGCTTTATGTTAATACATCCCATGGTAGAAAATAAGGTAATTCATCATTTTCAAGGTCCTAATGAGTTGACTTCATAATTCTAACCTTATCTATGAACAAGCTAATCAAATTAACAAGTTTGCATCTATAGTATTCACTGTGTATCTATAGTATATCCAGACGTTTTATTATATTAACTGATTTAAGGTCATATATGCTAGAAAAAGTGAAGTCGAGTTATAAAAAACAGTTCAAGAAGCCACTCTTTGCTTTTTTGGTACCGGGGATCAAACTCGGGTCCCTGAGCTTGCAAAGTAGGCACCAGAACCACTGAGCTAAATCCCAGGCCCAATAAGCCACTCTTAAATTACTGCCTTAGTGCATTAAAAAAAAATAGCAGAAATATTCCTGAATTAATTCAGTACCGTGCCTAAACTGATAGTCTACCAACAAAATAGTTTACAAAATTAAAAAAAAAAAAAAA